AACTCTATCCTTGCCAGAACCAGGACACACCAATACGTGCAAATACCTATAGATTTGCTTGCTGTTTGCTTCATTACTCCACGTAGTTAACTAATCACAAAGGTAACAGTGGGTGGGCCTTAGCTCCAGGTTGTAGGCAACTAAAATTTGGTATGGAGAACTACAGCTTCATCCAGATGGCCTCTCTTAGGTATCTAATGCCATCAGACTTCCTTAACCCACCTGGTCTCCAGCTGCTTATTCTGCTTTAGATGTATAGATGTCTATAGATGCGCCCGTTCTGGTGTGTTAATCCATGACCTGAATCTAACTCCAGTGGTAAAACAAAAGATAACTGGGCCCAAATGCTTTTCACAAAACATCAGCACCTCTTCACCCTTCTGTGCATGAACTACTCAGTCAAAAGGCAATGTTTGACGCTGTAGTATCTGCTGAACATTTGTTTTGCTATGGCTAAATAAAATCAGGTAAGATTTTTGCTGAATTATTTTGCTTGAATAAACTCCACCAGAAGTACACAAAAACAATCTGTGTCATTTGATCACCAGTATCTTCAGAAAATGTCATATTTACTTCTTATGGCAAAGCTCAGCCATTAAAAGAATCATTTGGTCAGTAAAATCAATTAATATAATTTTGAGCAATAAAGAAATTCTAGCTTAAAAAAAAACCACAAACCAAGAGCCAACTCTTCAGCTGCTGAAAACTTTATTCTTTTGTTACTTCATACACCTGAGCTATGAAGGTTTGTACAAAAAAATAAAATAAAATCCCAGTATAGTTTTACTGATGTTAAAGCTGTAGCCTCGTATTTTTTAATCATTTACTGTAAATATGAAGAGGGGAAGGGAAACTGCCAATGAATCTACCGAAAACACTTAACCTTTTGGGGATTATGTCATTATTGTTGCAACAAGGATTGTCTAAGATGCTTCTTTTTATTTAAGAAATGCCAATTTTATTCAAATCTTCCTGCAGAAATGTCTCCCATTTAAGGGAGAAGTTCACTTTTCAGTTTAAACCCTTTTGCTGTCTCATCCAAAAAAAAAACCAAAACACATTTAGTCCTTAATGAACAGAGCAAGGGCTTCACTTTGTCTTCTCCACCTAGTGGGAATGTACCAAACAACAGGGCACTGACAGAGAAAAAGAAGGGATTACAAAAAACACATCTTGAAACTTCTCTTACTAACTAAATTCAACATAAAATACTTGTAGCAGCCCCAGCTGCGACAGGGAGTGCAGTAATATGAAGAGACGAACATCTGGATGGAATGTAAGCAGCAAATCCTCCAGCAGAGGAATGAAGTCCATCAGCACGTGGAAGGTGTATGTATGTAATACGGCTTGCAGAACTAGAGCCTGTGAGAAGCTGAGTGCCTTTTGCAAGATGCTATTTGAGGGTACTGAGGTGTGGGAACCATGAAGCCCCCAGATAGCATCTTGCAGATTTAGGTCCCTAATACAATATAAAACACATTTGCTCCAGTTAGTGACCCAAGAGCTTGCTTTGGCTTAGATTTTCCCCCAAGCATTTGCTGTTAAGTTAATTAAGAATTTTAAAATAACAGTCTCTCACTTGCCAGGGACTCCACATAAATACTACTTTCTCTTCTTCTATGGGCCAGATTTTCTGCAAGGTTAAATCAATACCGTTTCACTGATTGAGGATCTGGCCTTAAAAGTCCATCCAGTGCATTAAAACCAGCACAGCATGACATATACCTTGGCAGTAGAACAATTCTCCAGATTAATATTTGAGGGAAATTTGGCAGTTAAAAAAAAAAAAAAAGCTCTGTTTTGAAATGCTGCCAATTTTTTAATCAGTGCTGACCACCACAGTTTCTTCTCCTGTGACCTGTACAGTTACGGCCGGAGTTCCACTGTCGTTCTCCTCAAGTTTCAGCGCAGCATTGTCCAAGCCAGTGCTGCTTGGCTGTGGCAAAGCGGTGGGTTCTGCTGTCCGAGTTGGAGTGGAACAATACAAGATGAAGCCCACCATGATGATAACAAAGGACAGGATATAAAGACCTGAAAACTGGCACAGGAAAGAAAGAAACACATTAAGTCTTGTCTCATGTAAAAAGACACAAATGCTGCCTTGTTTTAAAAATGCAAAACCTACCCTTCTTTTTAAAAAATATTTTTATGAAGATTATCACCATGATCTGTATTCAGGTCTGAAAATCAAAATTCAACAGCTCCATTCACTGATAGGTTCAAGCTGCTGGCTGGTTTTCTCTGCATCTCATCCTCAACACTGTTGGACAGGGAGTTTCCTTAGGTCTACATACAAGAATCTTAACAGAGAGATCACATGGCTGTAAATATGGTGATACTGAAGGATAGTTGCTTACACACATGAATGCTGAAGCACTGTACTTCCTAGAGAATTTTTGTTTCAGCACAGCCAACTATTTCAGCTCCCAGCAAAAGATGAATCTCCATCCTACTGCAAGTCACCAGAGCAGCTGGTTCTCTCCACAACTCTCTTAACCATCCGCAGGGCTAGATAAATGCTATTACTGGACCAAAACCGGTTTCCTCTCTACACCCAGCAAGTCCTTGAAGAGAGGGAGACTGGGGCTCCTTTGACAAGATCAGCGTTTGTGCTCCATTAGAGTGGTGTGAGGGAAGAGTATGAACTGCTGAGGCACGTCAGGCATTTGATTCACTATCGTTCACTTGCCTGTTCAAAGTCCAAAAGTTGCTGAGATTCATCCACCTTGACAGAAAAATAAATGTTTGCTTCCTAACACCAGATTCAATAATACAAAGTGTTCACATTATCCACAGCCAGGAACATTTTTTCAGCAGATCTGTTAAAATCCTCTGTATTGTCTTTGCCAAACCGTGCTGATTAAACAGTAGGATGAAGGACATAGTGCATCCTACATTCGACTGTCAATATACCCTAACTTCCTTAGCTTCCTTAGGCGTGCTTGAAAAATACGTTCTAGTTTATCAAGTAGCAGAGCTGGATGAAATGAATGGTAGGACCTGGACAGTGGACTCTGATCCAAAGAAGACTGAGGCATCTACAATTAAGGCATTGCAATTCCTGGCTGGTAGTCACTTGGCTCAGAAACCCGTGGATGGCACCATGCAGAAGGAAAAGCCGACTGAAACACAGTGGCCTCACTCCTCACCTTGCTGGCTGTTTGCCTGGAGGAGCTTGGAGTCAAGGGTTTGCTCTGCACAGGAGGAAGCACCAGGCTCTGAAGATGTCCTGATGGAGGCAACAGCAGCATCCGTGGCCCCACCCCTGACTGACCCATTCGCATCAAACGGGCAGAGCTTGGGTCTGTATCAAGGCAACTGCACAACCTCTCTGGAGTGCAACCTAAGGCCACGCGCAACCGTGTGGCTGGAAGGCGAGACTGGGCAGTCGCAGTAACAGCAGCGCGTATAAGGCAGTAGGTATCTCTGATCCTGCTCAGAATTAATTCCTCGGTGAGTGGATACGCAGTCACCATGCCAGGTGCCAAAGCTGTTACAGCGTAGCTGCGATTCAAGGCCCGCCTACATGTTTGCAGCTACTGACACAGGTGAACCTTAACCATGCTGCTCCAACAGGCCTACGCTTTTTTTTTTTCTCTCCTTTCTTTCATTTTTGGGGAGGGCTCAGTGGTCTTGTCCTGGTTTTTTTGCTTCTTTTTTTTTTTTTTTTCTTCTTTTCAAATATTGCAGCAACTTCATTGCTTCAGACACTGATTTCAGTCATACCTGTGCAGCTTACATCCCATACTCACTATCAAGCCTAAAGACTACTTTAAATGTTACTGGAGGACTGTAACTCCATCTAGTGTCTGTATTTCCAGTATGCTCCCTTCCATATGAGTTTATACAACAAAAGCATTTGGAGGCTTTTTTTTAATACCTCTTGAGGGATTACAGGTATCTATATAACGAGCTTATTAGGAACAAACACAGTAAAGATTCCTATGGAGTAAAAGGAAAAAAAAAAAAAGCTCTTCAAAACAGGTATGCAAAATTCATAGTTGGGGCTGAAAAGTTGAGTGCATTACACTGTGCACAAGGCAAAACTTATAAATTCCTGGGCCCGGTCTCTGCTGTAGCCGCTGTATGGTTGTGCAGCTTCTGCTTCAGAGCAGGCGTAGACCACAGCAATTCAGAGCTCTCCGCAGCTCGCTCCGCTCTGCAGCCCAGCCAAGCCACAGTGACTTGCTGTGAAATATCATCTACTAATGGGGAATACAGAGCAATTCCTTGCATTTTTGTTTGTAGATACCTGTCTTCAGGGCGCTTTTTTTAATCCAGGAAATGTCCTGCCTGGTAGAATGTAAGTATGGTTCGCTTCCTACATTCATTTTTAGCCATAGTTAATGGATGCTTCATAGCTTGGAGCAAATTTTGGAACCCAAAACAGGGAGGAAAGCTGAGCTAAAAGACTTGAAAAGGGAAATCTAGCTGCTGTCGGACCCCACCATTACGAGACCTCTGTGCTGTAAAATAAATTGGTCTTCATTTTCAGAAACAAATCTGACCTAAAAGCTTCTGGCTCTCCATAATGCTGAAGAGAAAGCAACCACATGGAATAATACAAATTAAGTTCTTAAGCAAAGTTCACAAGCTTCTGACTAAGCCCTTCCAGTCACCGAGCGACTGACTCAATTACTCCAATCGCTGTAACGAGCAAGGTTCCCACGAATGATTCTGGATGAAAAGCGTAAGGTGGAATGAAATCTTTTTAGCGCTGTCATTTAGTTTGAATAGACATTACCAAAAATATTGTAGGGAGTAATAAAAGTAACTGCCTTTTGGACAGTGCACAGAATAATATATTTATCTTTCAGTTCCTTTAGTCTCTCCTTAGCAGTAGCACTGAGAGAACCTGATTCTTATCCCAAGATGTTGGTAATGAACAGATTAAACTTCTAAAAAAACTATTAATTTCTGGAAATGAAGCCAAACTGCTCCACTCTCGGACACCAAATGCCTTTCAGGACAGGGAGGTTCAAACCTTCCCTTTGGGCACTTGGAGTGATGAACCAAATCTAACATAGGGCTTACAGCAAGAACTCTACCATTTGAACACCTCGGGAAATTATTTACTATCTCTTAACATCAACTCTAACATATTCCATCAAGTGTGAAATTGTTTGAAAACCACTATCTGCCTAATGATGCAATGCTGTGTAATTAACTAAGTATGACTCCTCCCGATTGACATCTGCCAATGATGAACGATACAAGCTGTAGAAACGTACAAGTGCAAACGACTGTTCAGGGGAATATTAAGAACATTATGCATTATTTATAATTTTGGACTAAAAACGTAACTGAAATTCTAGTGAGAGAATGAAGATACTTACCTTATAGAAAAAGAGGAAAAGCCCAAAGAACAGACTGTAGAGATCCGCAGTCAGAATACCCAGGTTGACCGAGGTTGCGCTGGTAACTTTAATCACTACTGGCATGAAGCTATACAGCCCAAACATACACAGGGCAAAGACTGTAAACAGTAACACTGTAAAACAAGACAACAATTTACTCCTAAGGCACAGAATAATGGTTTTAAAGAACACCGACATTCTTCAGATGCTTTAAAACTATGCATTTTTATCTTTAAGGATAAGATCTCCTAAAAGATATGGGAATGTAAATTTACGAAAAACATGGAAGAAATACTTCTTTTCTGACACTGCTCAGTATTGCCAATATTACTGTATGTATACAAGAAAGTTCTCATTCTTTCCTAGTTAACTTAAGAGCTGACTGAAGAAATTTAGAGCCGCATTTCTTAATAACATACAGTTCTGTTGAGGTCAAAATGTGTCACAAAATCCATTTTTCCAGTCTTTCACTTAGGAAGGACAAAAGAAAAAAGTTCTTGTGATGTTCCAACACCAAACACGTCTGTAATTAAGCAGGTTTAATTTTTACTTATTTCAATTTATTTTGAAAAATTATTTCATGTTATATGTAAAACGCAAAACCTGAGCTCAAAGGTCTTAATGTTCAATCGTGCAAAGCTTATCCCTTTGCTGAGATGCAAAGTTTGCAAAAAATGAATTTGTGACAATATAATATCAATGCTGTTTAATATCCAGAGAAAGAAAATGAAAACCCCAACATTCGAAGTCTAAATGATTATCAATTTCCAGTGTTCTATAAAAATGCCCATCATTTTGTCATACACATACCAATTTTCCAGTTCCATTGAATTCTCATTATCTCCCTATGTTCCACAATGGCTCTAGAGTTAGAAAAAAGATATAATACAGTAAAAAAAGAAACAAATAAAAAAATCATACTCAAATAGAGAATTTAATTAGAGAATGTATATAAGAAACATTTTGATTTATAATCCCTTAATTTTTTGTTTGAAATTTTATTGAACGACACTAACTCCAACATCTAACAAGCATGAAAAAAGACCTGAAAATTAAAGTGCCTGAAAGTCAAGAGCATTTTTATTTAATTCTTATGTCTTCTTCCCAGGCTTTTTCATCCTTCAGAGATTCAGTTTTACTTTATATACCATTTGAGGAAATTATTAACTATAATGATGAGAAATGAGGATCATGAAATTCATTAGATAGACTTAAGTGCATGTGGCCTGTTACTCAAACGTGGTTATTTGTAAGAGTATACAAGGCTTCATTTTAAAATGAAGTTTAATACGGAAGACCTCCTGCTAACGATTATCTCCTAAACTTTTCCACAGAGAAAATCCATTAAGAAATACATTCCTGTGAACAGTCCTCAGCATACTGAGTGTCCTCATGAAGATCAACAAAATAAAAAATACAGCCAAGTATCATATGTGTTCAGTTGCAGCATTTCAGCTTTAGAATTGCTGTAGTAAGAGTAGTGCAAGTAAGAAGGATATAAAATGGATGCTGATCAGCAACAAAAAAAAATTCAAGTGGAAGGACTCCCATATAGGCCAAATGCAGACGTAACAAAGAATTAATTTAATAACAACATCATCATTTCATGGTAGACAAGCAATCATCTGTAGAATATTCTTAATTAGTTTTAAAAGAAATATTAGATCCTTACAGCTGTAGACCGCTGATAATAGTCCCAAACAAGCCCACCATTCCTAGAAACTCCACTCTGCTCAGATTTTTCACAATGTATTCCTCACTCACATTAGAAATGGCATACAAAGAAGCACCAAGAAGCACTAAGACATCTCCAATCACCACGTCACTACCTGTACAGAAATATTAATCCACAATAAGGGTAATGCTGCAAACACTTTTTAACTTTCCTTAAAAAAACAAGCAAATTTATCTCTAACATCTCTATCCTCCTAGCACCTTCCAGCGTCAGGGGAAAGGAAACATCACCTGTGTGTCCAGAAGAGTTGCCTGGTGTCTGAGCACGGACTCTGCTACCTGCTCACATCACCCTGCACAGTCTGGGATGAGTTAAACCTGGCATTTAAATCTCATCCTAACCAAGCCACTGCTGTATAGTCTGGTCCAATTCTACTTCTGCTGACCTCAGGCACTGTAGGGACTTGAGAAAATCACCGGTCAGAGATGCTCTCCACCTTTCTGAATATTGCCCCTGCTTTTGCAGTAAGACCTGATTCAAGTCTTGCTAAAATCAGTCTATTGATTTCAGCGGGACCTGGACTCAGCTTCAGGTTTATGACAGGTCTTAAGTGGGCACTGCAGATGGGTGGTATCATGTGTCCTGCTGCGATTTATTTATGCTGTGCAAATGGGATGCCCCATGATACAATCACTCATCAAGTAAATGTCATTATGCATCAGTTAAATAGCAAGAGGATTGCTGCTGTTTAAATCCTTGAATTGATTTAAAATGTCCTTCCCTGAGCCAGCTGGCAATCTCTAAGAAAATATGTCTGAAACATGAGGGTAAGCAGTAGCAAGGATACCCAGGTCAGCAAATAAAGCACAACTGTCTTAAAGTCTCAGTGAAAGATTTTTCTCCCTCAGGACTGAGATACTTGTACCACATAGCATTAAAGCTAAACCTCAGTTTGTCTTGATATCTTACCTACAGCAAGGCCTCAAAATAATGCAAGGCACGCTTATCTCTATGCTGCCTGAAGAAGGTAACACCCCATTCCTCTCCCCCGGAAAATTACTTTGCCCTATAACCACTCGCTCTGAAAATTCAAAATTCTTATTCAAAATAAGATTGTTATGATATGAGTTGATTTAGGCATAATTCATAGAGAAGACGTGATCTGCCCTTATCTGCACCCAGTTGAATCCTGGTCCCCAGAGCCCACCCTCCCTCTCAGAGGTCCCAGCAATCCCGGCATCCTGCCCACGTCTCCTCTTGCTCTCCATCATAAGCCCCTGCTTTCCAGGCTGCGGGCTGTGGGCCCTGGGGATATGTGGACTATTTCTGTCGGGTCTGCCAAAGATAACTCAGAGAAGTCAGCCTGCTCTTAAGTAACTTTTTATTTGCTATTTGTGCTCACAGAAAACTGCAAATCGGAGAAGTCTGGCTGCCAGCAGGCTGATACAGTGTAAGCAAGACAAGGTCTGCAGGGAGAGGCAGCATCTTTTATTAGACCATCTTGCATGATTAGTAAAAGTGAACGAGCTTTCAGGAATGAGGCCTGTCATCAGGTCAGATAAACAGCAGCAAAATTTAAGCTTAACAGAAGTGTTTCTCCTTTAAAGTGGAAGAAATAATCCAAATCTCCAAGCAAAGAAATTCCACAGCTCCCTATAAAATCAGCATCTCCTTGGCCACTACTTTCTTGAACAAGAAATACAAATAGCAGCGTGCCTTCTGCTTTGCTTTTTTAAAATAAAACTCTATCCACTCCCCCTGCATTTGTTCCTCTTTGCTTTTACAAGTTAGCCCGCCACAAGAACCGTCTCTTTGCTCTTCCCCCGCCACAACAAACAGCTCCTTACCTTCGCTGTCCTGCCTTCCTGCCAAAATATCTGCACCCACCATTGTTCCTACACCCAGCAAACAGACAGCAACAGCAATAAAATGGATCAGCCTGTATCTTGCACGGAGAATGAACCACGACAAAGCCATCAGCACAGGAATCCCGAAACAGTCCAGCAGCTGTGTGTACAGAGAAATGGTTTGAATTAGAAACGTGCCCCAAATGCGGATTGCGCTATCCTGAAAACAAATGTACACGATTTTACTTTCCGTCACTACCAGCTGTTAATGAAAGCCATAAAGCAACTCCACTGGATTCGTTCAAAAGAGGGGCGAGACCCACAGTTTGCCATGAAAAGCATTTTGCAAGTGAAGGAGGAGCTGGGACGGGGGTCCGCTCTCTACTGGGAGGAAGGCACTGATCTAGAAACTCTTCTAATGATGGATCTAATAAATCTTTGCAGCTTCACAAACGAATGCTAGGATGCTGCTCTGAAACCACGTTGCTGACCTTGACACCAATACAAGGAGGTGGTTTTATCCACATTTCCTTTTCTCCCCAGCAGGTTTTGTCTAGCTCATCTTTTCACCCCTCCTCAAATCTGTAATTAGAGTTTGGGGCTCCATGTACACAAAGTAAAAATTTGGAACTATTAAAGGATACAAGTGATCTGATTTTACATTGACCTGAATAGGACAAGAATCTGACCTTGTAGTTTTGGTTTTAATTTTTTTTTTAACCCCAATCAGATCCTACTGAAAAAAAAAATGGTACATGTGCTGGAAGCCATATGCAAAACTGATAGAAGGAAGATAGGAAGGGAAGAACAGCTGTCCTCAAGTCACCTTCCCAATCTTCCAGCTTCCCACACAAGCATGTACAAGCCATCAATCCATTTTCTCTGTTAGAGCTGACTCTCAATTAGTCAGAAGCCAGTAGCCCACTCTAACTCACCCATGCCCCAGCAGCAGAGACACTGGGATTAAGAGTCCCATGCTCTACCGACTGAGCTAGCCGGGCAGCTGGAGTTTTGAAGCACTTCAGATGTGTTTGCAGACACTGCCCTGAGCAGACTTACTAGCTAGGTTTCAAGGGTGTCTGCACTCCATGACATGCAGTGACACAGACTTCTCTTTCCTTTCTTCATTATCCCTTCTGTGTGTTCCTAAAATCCTGCACATCTTTGCCTTGCTGTTAGACCCACCCATCTTCTACCCATTCTCCAGAAAATACCAAGAGTTAGCTGTGTACTCAATACAGAAAAATATGCTGCGGCATAAAATGGGCATAATATTCTAGGATAACCAAATAATACCAAGAACATTGAGCTAATCATAATTGGTTTAATATTTAATTCAACAAAACAGACTTTGTTTCTGAATTTGCCTGGAGGCAAAAAAGTGTGTTTTCTGACCTGCCTCAGTAGACTGTCATGAAACTACATAAAGGAACAGCCTACAGCAGAACATATAGTCAGCCTTCCAAAGGCTGCTGAAAAATTACTCTTGAATCTCAGCCCTTAGAACTTGGCCTCTTGAAGTCCCTACAAAGTTTTAAGTCCAGGTCAATAGGACTGGGACATAATCACAGAATGGGTTGGGTTGGAAGGGATCTTGAGATCTTCTAATTCCAATCCCCCTGCCATGGGCAGGGACACCCTCCACTAGACCACGTTGCCCAAAGCCCCATCCAACCTGGCCTTGCACACTTCCAGGGAGGGGGCACCCACAACTTCACTGGGCAACCTGTTCACTGCCTCACCACCCTCACAGTGAAGAATTTCTTCCTCATATCTAATCTAAATCTACCCTCCTTCATTACAATCAAGACAAGAGTCCTTGGTCCTTAATGTTCATTGCCAACCTCTGCCTGCCTAAGTGCACCCCTGCAGTCTTCTGCTGTGCTGGCTTCCATTAGTTCAGCCATCGTCCCCAAGGATTTTAACCGAACTTGTAAGATTTTCATGGTATTTCTTGTTTTATTTGTTCATAACTCCACATATTAAAGTCTTACAAGCTTAGCATTAAGAGGAGTTACTACAGATTAAATCCTAACAGTGCCTCTAATCCTTCCATCTATTTGGTTTCACTCCTTGGATTGCCTCCACCTTGTCCAGTTTATATAGACTGTTTGTACAGTGCAAAAGCACTTGCCTAGGCTGTATTATGAGACATTACAACCACACAACTCCTAATATGAGATACCATATATTTCAATTCAACTTTGCTCTACTGAAAAATATCATGCTGTGAGTTTCTGTCTAGTCACAAGCCTTCTTCTCTATCTTAAGTTTAGTCTAGGCTCAAGAAAAACCTATCATTTCTTCCAAATTTGACTGTTTTGACTAGTATCAAACAACAAGAAATATTACAAACATTAGAAAGCAAATCTTTAACCCCTAGTAGTAGATGTCTCTTCTACTAATAAGTTTTCACTTCCCCATTAATTGAGATGTTACCACGTAGCTTTCCAACCTCCAAGCAGTTTTTTTTAACCCAAACAGAAAGAGTGGAAGAAAATCCTTTTTAAAAAAATTCTTAATTAGGATGTGTGGGAGTAGTACATAATGAGCCAGAAGCTTTTTCAGTAATACTGGATGGGGAATTGCTGCATCCAGACCAATAACATACTGTAGAGCTATAGCATCCTCGTTAGAGGACTTGCAGCCAGGACACACAGGCACCAAATGATAAAGAACACACCCTGGTAATCTATTCCAGGGGACAATTATCCTCAATTACAGACAGAAGAAATCTGATTTCCAACTACTGGATCTTGCCTTCCCTTCATCTACTAAGTTACAGAGCTCTTTGTGGAAAATGCTCTCTTCTATACAGGATCAAGATCAAAGAGGTGCAAAGCAGATGTAACATTGCAATGAATTGTGCCAATGGAACTATCCAAAAGAATAAAGTGTTTTTATTCAGGTTGTATGAGATTTACAGCAGTACTGAAGTACTGATTTCTATTGCCAGTAGAGCATCAACTTATTCTAGCCTGTATTTTTACAAGGGAAAAACCAGATAGCCTGATGATTTGATTTACAAATGTTTTGACTCAACCCAGGCTTTGGCCACGCTGTTCGCAGGAGGTTTTAAAGGTAGGGTTAGTAAATTATTAAAGGACGTTTTAATAACATGGTTAATAAATTATCATAGACTGTTGGAGGTCATTGGTTTGCTTATAATTGCCAGCTCCAGACAGCTTTGTGAGCAAGAAAGCTCAACAGCTCATCCTGCTTGCTTCCACCGCACGGCTCCCTTCGGGCAGCCTCCAGCTGAGCCCCAGGGGCTCATCTTGCATTTTCTCCTAGTGAGGTTAACACTCTTCCATCAGCTGATATTCTGTCAATAGCTGCCTATAAAATGCCCTCCATCTGAATTATCTACAGAGCAAATGCTAATTGTGCCCAATAATATGTTAACAACATGAAACCACAGCTATGCTGCTTGGGTTTTTTGCTATGAAATATGTGGTCAAACAGCAGCACAGTCGAGTCCTGCCACAAGACAGGACAGTGGCAGTGAAAAGTCTCACTGGCGCTGCTGAAGCCACACATGAACGGAAAGAGTTGCAGTTGTGGACCCAAAGTCTTTTTCTTTATTTACAGGGAAATGAGAGCTGCTATCCCCATGTTATCTCCTTAAAAATCTCCCAACCTCTTCCGTGCAATGCTAGTATTTGATAACTAAAGGAAAACCAGTTTTGCTTTTGTGTGCATGTGTGAGAAAATACATGGAAGTTCCTTGCTGAGCTGAGAAAACATACCTTTGAAGATAAGTTTCATAGGGCTGAGCTGAAGCTCCAGCCAGCCAGCCAGCATTTTGACAGTGATTACCCTGTACTCGGGAAGGTGCCACATACTCCTGCGTTGCTCTTATGCTCCCTGGGCATCCACTCACAGCCAGGCCATCAGCCTGAGTGCTCTGAACCACGGGCTCTGATGTAGCTGCAGAACTGCTTGCTACTGACGGATAGCACACACCTTGCGCTAGAGCAAATCACAGAGCAAATCAGAAAAGTTTTGTCCTGTATCTCATTTCTGACAGTGGTGAGAAACTGGTGCCCTGGAAGAATGTGCAAGAACCCTTGCGGCAACAGGCAGTTACAACAAATTTGCAGTTCCTGAACTGACGCAAAGCAGCATCAGCCTGAAGGTTACCACATGGGAAAAAGGTTCAGCAAATGCTTGAGTTGGGCAACCAGACAGGACAATCTATCTATTCTTTCTTAATTTCTATGAAAGAAATCATGGGAATAGCTTTACTATTACTGAGAACTTGGATCAAAGTCCTGGCTTTTTCAGCTGTAAATTATACGATCAAATAGCGTCTAAATCAAGTCTCAAGCTTAATTTGATCTTGAGACTGAAACGTGTCACTCCTAAAGCTCTGATTTCTTAGACATTATTTATCAGGAAATTAAAGGCCTAATGAGTCTTAACATGTAAGTATGAAGTGGAAATGTGACAATAATAATCCAGCAGGCATGTGTTACTGGTCTTTGGTAGCGCAAAGAAAAGTTACTGCAGTTCTCTAAAGGGATCCCAGACCACAGGAGTTTATTGCTTTACAGGTAATTCTTTTAAATATTAACCCTTGTTACTTTGACTCTGTAAAACACTGACACCTAAGCACTCCTTTCCAACTAACAGCCAATTCTGTATGGTACATTATTTCTCTGTTCAGGTAAGTGGGGCCATGACCCCAGCCATAGATCCACCACCGATAAGAGCAGGCGTAGGTTGGCATGGCCCCGGACACACTCCCTCCTTGGTTCTGCACCGTCCCCTCCCTTGTTCCAGCAGCAGCTGTGGAGCCACACAGTGAGCTAACTTGGGCCTGACACAGCTCGCCAATAGTCCAGCCAAAGGCAGGGTTTACTCTGACTTTGATCAGTGCCCTGAGCCAGTTTGCTCCAGGGATTTGGCCATGCAAGCTCAGGAGCATGCAGTTGGAGGCAGGAGCTTTTCCAGCAGCTTATGTCTGTGTAGGGTGACAAAGAAACTGCAGCCTTAGCCCTCCTGCTCGTAGAACTATTTTGGAACACAAGATTTATCATAGTGCAGCGACGCAGCACCAAGCACTGCTGTTGCAGAGGATGTTTACTGGCACGCAGCCCTTCTTTCCATCTCTTCCAGAAAGGGGCCTGAATTGAAGTGCCACATCCAAAAGCCATAGGCTTGACCCCTCAATGCATAGTCAGCAACACTGGCTAACTACCAGTATGTCCTCACACGTGGGGTTACGTCTCACAATTCCTCCCACAGCTGCTAGGACTAGGCAAGAGATCTGCGTCACCCTCATCAGCAAGAACCTGTGCTGAGTGAGTGTTATCTGTTCCTAAATCTTTACTTTGTCAGGAAAAAAACCTGAGTGGCTGTCAGCAAACTCTTAGAAGTGCTTTCTATCAAAATAATTAGAGTTCAACTCAAGAGCTGGCACTGGGTAATACCAGCCAATTTTCTCTGCTTCCTGGAAATGTTACTTATGAGGCAGGATGCTCTTCTCTGTACTGCAGAGAGAAAATAGATATTGGAAAGTTTTTTCAGGCTTAAATAGCTTCCATGTCTGTCCTATGAATCTCATTTCAGAAACCGGTCCAAAACTGTAATAAAAGCAACAGTTCAAAAAGAGATCAGTCCTTACCTGCACACTTGTGAGGGTCGTGTATTGGTAGGCTTTTACAATCGTGTAATTGGCTTCAACATCGGCCAGTCCCAAAAAAATATACTTCCACCACCTCTGTTTTAAAATTTGCCAAAGACTGTCACTGCCTGTTTAGAAGAAAGCAGCAATCAATATATTTCTTTCCAACCAAATGTGGCACAGGAATCTTGTTTTTTTAGAAGCATAAATAAAATGGAGATGTTTGATTTTGGTTGCCCCTGCTTAAGAAAGATACCATAACAGCAAAATGGAGCCTGGGAGGAGACAATGCAAATGGTGAAAAGCACAGAAATTCTTCCACATGAGGAAAAAACTGACAAGACCAGAGTTGTTGAAAGAATAAATTAATACGAATAGGAGGAATATTAAATAGCCTTTGGTAAAGAAGCTTGTTACAACAAAGCCTATTTTCCCTAATGGAACATACAACTTGAAACCAAAGAGCACATAATTTTAAACAGATATGAAACAGAATCAAATTAAATGCACATTTAACCCATGAAATTCATTTTCACGTGTTATTACAAGGCAGGAATTTCAACAAGAACTTTAAAAAACTAGAACGAGTATTAAGTTCTTTAGTTTCAAAATCTGAAAGGAAAACGTAGCAGAGAAAAATATGAACCAGAATCTCCCATCCCATATTTCACATACCAGTCCTAAATGCCAGCATTGTTGTATAAACTAGAAGAAGCAAAGAATAGTTGATAAAACTTTGAAACATTGGAGTATTCACTTGGTACTGTTCTGCTAGGTACTGGCTTGTAACTGCAGTCCCACAGATAAACAAGGATAGCATCTGGCCCAGAACTACCGTTTTCAAAATATGCCTGTGAATACAAAAGACAACATAGTAAGTTTAGAACTAAACATTCACGTTTTTTTAAAAAATATTTGCTAGTTGTACAGGGAGAATGCCATTTTGCCATTTTTTAGATTGACACTTTATTCTTTTTCTACTCCCTACCAATATTGTTCTGATTTACTGGTAAGCACGGTTTTGTCTACACAGAAGATCCAGTCTAACCTCGTGACAGCCATATAAAAAGTGAGGCCAGTTCAAACCACCAGCGATGGAGACTGCAATAATTTGAAAGGCTCTTCAAGCAGCTCACCTGGGCAGGCTCAAACCTATGGCAGGATCTATTCTCATCAAGAGGGATTTTGAGTTAAATCCTTTGTCCTCCACTGAGTCCTGTTCTGACCTTGGGTAACAGAAATCTGCAACATGGAGATAAGGCACAAATACCTTCAGGCTCTTCCAAGACCTGAGTCTTTGAAAGTGAGCTGAGACCCTAAGCTGAGCTGTGCTAAGGAAATACAAAAGCATTAACCATAAAATCATAGAAGAGCCCCGGTCAGAAGGACTTCAAACAGTCATCTGGTGCAATCTTTCATGGGTGGGAAAGGGAGCCTGGATGAGATTATCCAGCACCCTGTCCAGTCACATCTTGAAAATCTCCAGCAACGGGGACTCCACCACATCCCTGGGGAGGTTGTTCCAGTGAGTAATTGTTCTTACTGTAAAAAAAAATTCTTTCTTATAATAAGAATGATAATAATTAATACCTATTGTGGATTTTTTCTGCTATGTTCCATCACATCCTGCTGTAATTGAGGATGGAGGTAAGAATACATCTTGGCCAAAGATCTTGTTAGTGTTTACTATGCCTTTTGAGTCCAACCCACAGCTGGGGGTGGGGGGGAAAGCTCATGCTCTTTTAGTGGCAATTCTTCACCTAATATAAAGTGGCTGTGAACTATTCCAGATGTTCCTAGACAAACAGAAGCAGGCACGAATTGCTGTGTATCTTTTGGCTCGCTGTGTTTCCTGCCAGTGGAGCTATGCAGATTTCTGTCTCCGCCTCGTCTCTGCCGGCATACTCACAATACACAGTAAGAGAGGCTCAGTGTTGTGAACTTTGCAGACCTGTACAGACAGCACATCTCATTTGTTTACACTGAAGACCACTGATGAGAATTTCACTGTCTGCACAGCTGATTCATTTGTTCCTACTCCAAGCAAGGAAGAAAGCATCCCATTAGGATTCTGCATCTACCCTTTGCCCATGTCTCTCCCTGGTGATTTGGGGCAGGGCGCCCACGTGCCAGGCACACCACCTGACAGTAACACCGGTTGCTTCCCAAGGTGGGTGACTAACGTACCAGCTCACCCAGCTATGCCGTGCAATTCAGCTGTTGGGCAATGAGAAGGGTGTGTTCATGGTGCTGAAGCCAACTACGGTCATACAGGCAATCCCTCTCCTTTTGGAAGGGAGACATCGTCTTTGCACGGATTCTATTACAGCCGCATGAATCTCATTTTCAATTCAGCCTGACACCAAAGTTCTTCTGACTTTAAAAATGCTCCTAGGCACATTTTTCTCTCCAAGTCCATTTTGATGAGACAGCAAATCTCTGCAAAGTCCAGCCATGTTGCACTTCCAAGAGATTTGAGCCCCATGTTTTGCTACAGCTTGCCTTGCCAATCCCAGCAACGGTGCACATCAACATTGTAAGTATTCATATATCATGTGACAATCTTGTAAGGTCCTATCCAGCCTCATGTGAATAACTCTTTCCGGAACGTGAAAGAACAAACACTGTCATTTCTAACATTTTGAATGTTGAAATAACCAACAGAGATCATGGTTCAGCCAGAAATTTATCATGGCTACTTTGTAGCACAACATTAACTGTAAACAGTTCTATAAAATACATACATGTTTTTATATACATATATGTATTTCTATGAAAAAACCCCCAACAACACCAAAACTTTGAAGCTACCTCACTTTTGTTATATCATTTATTAAAACCACGAAAGACCTGGTTGTCCTCTTACAGTGGAATAACCTCACTACGCTGATCCTCAGCTTCCCTAATGACTAAGTTTCTCCAGTTTAAAGTATCTTGGGAATTATCTTCTTGCGTTTTTGCATATGGGAAGAGACACAGGTCCAAAATCTACAGAATTGTTTGCTTAGTGGTTACTGCACCAGCAATCATTGCTATTTAGTTAATGTATGTCTCAGCACTCCTACAGTATTTACTTCGATGGTACCAAAGGCACCTGACAAGGCAAGCAGGCTTCATCCTGCCTCATTCCCTTCTTTATTCTTCTCGATTTTAATTCAGGGATTTTTTTCTTCCCTGTACCGATCAGATTCAAAATGTTAAGATCAAAAGGGCCACATAAAGACATTGTTCACTGACAGCGGAAGGCTGCCCTCAATAAATGTTCTCTGTGAATCCCAAAACACTACATTTCTGGCAACTTTCTCGGCTGCATGTAAAATAACAGCCTCTTGCTCTGACCGCCCACCATCACCAGGTGCAGCCTCAGCAGGATGCAGCAATGGTTTCCCCTTGCACCATTTGCTAAGGCATCAGAATGAATTTCTTCCAATTGCAAAGGTGACACCATGTTCCCAGTGTAATGCGCTGTGCTCAACACGGTTTGAACAGAGTAAGATGCCCCTCATTCAATGTCAGCTCAAGAGCCTTATTATTTCAGTGCCTACTAAATTCCCATAGGTAATTACAAAAAGTGGTTTACTCTCTGTAAAACTTGAGAGTAAGCTTTAAATCTTATTGGTTTCATTTTGCAAGACAATTTCTTGTAAGAAAATGCTTCAAAGACATGAGTTTCCATTCATTCCAGTACTGACATGAGCATCGATGACCATGATTTTCTTATTAATAATTTATCATCATTTTTTGAAATATATTAATTATTAACTTTTCCATGCCAGAACTTGATCCTCTCTGCTTTTTTTTTTTTTTTTTAATGCATTGGTAAGGACTAAATCACTTTGGCCTCTCAGATGATGCAAGGTAAATGGTCTGAAATGCCCTTTAGTTCTACAGTTTTGGGGTGGGGGGGGTGGGTGTTTGTTGGTTTTTACTGTTTGGTAGTTGGCTACCAAACACTTATTCCCCCTCTCCCTTCAGCCACCGTATCTTAGCCAGCTATATCTATGGCTATGCGTAAAACTAGGAGTCATTTTGGGATTTTTTAGAACATGAAAGTTTGACACAAACTGGTCTAAAGCTAATGCTCAACAATGTGCAGCTCTTGACATTATGAGAAAGTCAGGCTGCCTTTCTTTGGCTCCATGTGAAATGCAGAAGAAAAATACCCCCCAAGATACTAAAATACAATCAGTCTCTATCTGAGGAAGTTAAAGAAAATCTAATAAGCCCATAGTTAACAATTTTATTGGCTACTATTTTAATAAATCCTGTAATTTTAATGTGATTTTTTTTCATGCAAATAAATCATAGAATCATAGAATGGTTTGGGTTGGAAGGGACCTCAAAGATCATCTAGTTCCAACCCCCCTGCTACGGGCAGGGACATCCTCCACTAGAAATACAGCTTTTCAAAAAATTAAATTTATTTATGCCACCAGTTAAACACTAACAGGCAAAGCCTGGCAACACTCTTCACATAGACAGTTTACTTGCACTTCAGCTTTAACTACTGAACCCTTCCTGAATGGGGGGGAGACCATCTGATTTGAATAATCTCACATTTTCATGTGAGTAGTTAAAAGAAAATGAAGGTTCATACAGAAGCCATATTCCAACATGACTAGCAGATAGCTCGGGACAGGAAAAAAATATTTTTAAGAACTAACATTTTCAAAAGTTAGTGTTTCAGTGTTCTGCTTTGAAACTGAGGTCAATTTATCACAGAATCATAGAATGGTTTAGGTTGGAAGGGACCTCAAAGATCATCTAGTTCCAACCCCCCCTACCATGGGCAGAGACACACCTCCCAAAGCCCCATCCAACCTGGCCTTGCACACTTCCAGGGAGGGGGCATCCACAGCTTCTCTGGGCAACCTGTTCCAGTGCTTCACCATCCTCACAGTAAACAATTTCTTCCTAATATCTGATCTAAATCCGCCCTCTTTCAGCTTAAGGCCATTACCCCTTGTCCTATCACTCCATGCCCTTGTAAAGGGTCCCTCTCCAGCTTTCCTGTAGGCCCCTTCAGGTACTGGAAGGCTGCTGTAAGGTCTCCCCTGAGCCTTCTCTTCTCCAGGCTGAACAACCCCAACTCTCTCAGCCTGTCCTCACAGGAGAGGTGCTCCAGCCCTCTGATCAGCTTTGTGGCCTCCTCTGGACTCGCTCCAACAGCTCCATGTCTTGTACTGGGGCCCCCAGAGCTGGACGCAGTACTCCAGGTGGAGTCTCACAAGAGTGGAGTAGAGGGGCAGGATCACCTCCCTCGACCTGCTGGCCACGCTTCTTTTGATGCCACCCAGGACACGGTTGGCCTTCTGGGCTGCAAACGCACATTGCTGGCTCATATTGAGCTTCTCATCCACCAACATCCCCAAGTCCTTCTCTTCAGGGCTGCTCTCAATCCATTCCTCACCCAGCCTGTAGTTGTGCTTGGGATTGCGCTGACCGCTGTGCGGGACCTTGCACTTGGCCTTGTTGAACTTCATAAGGTTCACATGGGCCCACCTCTCAAACCTGTTAAGGTCCCTCTGGATGGCAATTTAATTTGTAAAAAGTAAGAAACAGAAAATAAAGACTTGTTTTGTTTCAAGAACCAGAAAACATACTTTCTACTGGTTTTACTAAAAAAAAAATATCTAGCTTATTACATGCAAGTATTAAACCTCCCTATGACTCAGGCCTCTAAGAAAACTGAAGTGGCTGAGCCTCCAGGGGGGGGGGGGGGATCAATTCAGTATCTCAGACAAGACTTTGCAAACCTCAATGAGAGGTCTTTATTTTCTTTCAAGTACCATCAACAGACTCACTTAGCATGGCCCTCTGGCAACATTTTGGCAAAAGTTCAAGCACAGGTGAGGTTACTGAACAGTTCAATAGGTTCCTACCTTGTCTTTTTTTTGCAGGAGGAACGAAAAGAGAAAAACTTATAAACAACAGAGAAAGGCAGGCTTTGCCATCTGGAACACGGCTCTGCTTGGCCAGGACACACCTCCATGCAGCCCAGTCGCCAGAGTCCAGCTCACAAGCGCGAGGCTGGCAGGAGAGCCAGCACCTCCTGTTTGTCAGCCCAGGGTATCTGATGCAATAGTTATTACAAACCAAATCTAGAGCCCCCAAAAAGCCTTTTAAACAGGGATTTATTTTTTTTCCAGATGGAAACTAAGTCTGTAAGTGGAGCTGGAAGTCAGAAGAGGTAGTTATGCTCTCACTAAGGCAGCACCTGGCAAGTAACAGCTTTGGGACAC